GACTTATTGCCAACCTCTTTGGTCCAGTTGAAGGAAGAAGGCATGACAGTGGCATCCTGGCAATGTCAGGTTTTTTAAATCAGTTGGAGCAACATTCCTTTACACCTGATGGCCAGCCTTTGTGCATCTATGGAGATCCTGCATATCCTCAGAGTTTTTCTCCAATGCCCCTTCGCAAGAAGACCAAACCTCACTGTTCAAGAGCAAGCCTTCAATCAATCCATGAGCAGGGTTCGTATTTCTGTTGAGTGGGTGTTTGGTGATATTGTGAATTATTTTAAATTCACAGACTTCAAGAAAGATCTGAAGATTGGCCTCAGTGCAGTTGGAAAGACTTATGTTGTTTGTGCCCTACTACGCAATGCACTTACTTGCCTGTATGGGAACAACACATCTGCCTTTTTTCAATCTGCAGCCACCACTTCTTGAAGCTTTTTTAAAAAAAACAGCTTTTTTAAAAGCTACCAAACAGCTTTTTTAAAAGCTACCAAACAGCTTTTTTAAAAGCTACCAAACAGTTTTTTTAAAAGCTACCAAAGGTACCAAGTTTAGATTTATCTTATCACACATGATAGAAATCTCAGTGTATGGGATAATTAATATTGATAAACAAAAAATTAACCAATTGAGTTAACCATTGATAGAACTTAAGTAAATGTGACTTTTCCAAAACAAACAGTATATCACTTCGAACACACTGAGTTGTAAAGAGCAACATTTCATTAATTCCAAATCACAATCTCGTCTTGTAGAACTATTTTATCAGGACATGAGCCTGAAAACTGACACAAAAATAGTAAAAATTTGAGAACAATCTAAGGCTGAGATATTTTACAAGGTGATTTCGAATATAAAGCTTGTTGAAATAGGCTTTTCAATGCATAACCTGTCACAAAATTGCTATTAAGAAAATTGATATTAAGATTATTTTTTAAGAAAATAGTTATCTAAATGAAAATATAAGGCCATTAGTACTTCAGTGAAATGTTCCTGTCTAAAAATTTCTCTACTTGCAACCTAATTATTTGGAGCGGTAGTCATGGTATTAGTTCAGGTTTTATAACAAAAATTGTCAACATGTTTATCTTCTAAAATTTGTTCTTACTTTATAATATAGTCATTAAGTTCTTACTTGAAAAGAAGGAATGTTTGGATATGAATTTTATCTGGCATTTTTGAGTTTTATAAACAGAGGATCTGTTGGTACTAATAATACCAGCATTTTGACTTGGAGGTTCCATCATTTTTACTATGAGTCTTAACCTGGTCATTCCTTCTTTTCCAGTCTACTGTGGTAAAGGGACAGTAGCAATTTGTTTTGCTGCTGTACCTCTTCCAAAATAGCCTGTTGCTGCTGCAGCTGTTGTCTTAAAATATTTATAATTTCATCATCTTTCTTCAGCCTTGCCTCCAATTCCCTCTCCCTCATAAGTTGTTCCCTCTCTTTTATTTCTTGCTCTTTCCTTCTCATCTCTATCTCTTCTTCCTGCATCTTTTCCTTTAACTCAAGATCTCGCTTCTTCAACTCAAATTCTTTCTCACTTATTTTGACTCCCTGCGCTCTCTTTTCCTTTAAATACTCCACTGTATCCCCCCATGCCTTTTCTTCTTCCTCTCTCTTTCTACATTCTCCTTCTCCCTTGTCTCCCCCATTCTCTCCATTGCCCTCTTCCTCACTGCCTCTGCTGTTTCTTTTTCTTTCTCAATGTCATTTTTCTTCTTTACCTCTCCCCTCAACAACTGTTCTTGCTGCTCCCTTGCAGTCTCTGTTATATCCTCAAGAGCCTGATCCAGCTCATCGGGCTCTTCTGGACTGATACCACTGGCTCTTTCCTCGCTGGCCTTTTTCCTTTTAAAATCTTTTTCAAGTTTGGTGAAGCGATCTCTCACTAACCTTTGGTCAACTATGAAGTGAGGATGCTCCACCAAATTCAAATTCTTGGCAATTCGCTCCCAGCATTGCCCTCGGTCATGGGTGCCATGCCTAAATTGAAATGGCTGGACAACCAGCACTTCTCTACAAATTAGCACATCATGCTGCTTGGTCCATGTCATTTTGTGCCTGTTTGAAAAGGTTTAAGAAGGGTTGAAGGCAAAAAAAAACCTTTTCACTCAAAAATTATATATGAAACATAAATGATTACAGATGTTCTAGATATAATTATGTATATCTCAGTCTGGAGAGTGTGGCAGTTCTAAATAAAATCTCACATGCTCAAAGTCATTTCAGGTTGGTTTTCTGTGTGTAAACCTCATGGCACTAAATGTTATGTGTATATGTAGTTCCTAATATCAGCATACAGCACTACATTGACCTGGTGCATAATCTGCCATGCTCTTCAGACTGGTGTATATCTTACAGGATACCTTCAACATTTTTACAAGAACACAACTGTTTATTTAAGAACAGAAAATGTAGAAAGCTGCATTTTGACATGCATAATAAGAATTTGGCAAAAAGTCTTGATTGCAGTTTGATTGCAATTTGGACGAACACTCATTTTTATAAGAAACAAAGGTCAACATTTAGTAGCGAAGTGTCTTAGTGTTGCTGCATTTTTCAGCACTTGCTTTTGTCAACTTTCTTAATTGCATGTCATTAATTCATAATTGAAATTTTTTAACTTATAACTGAAACCTGAAGGGGTCTTGATTAACTTATAACTGAAGATAAGTTGGCTTTGAAGAACAGGTAGATGTTTGTAATAGCTTTTGTTACTTGTCCTACTCTCAGCTTTCTTCAAGCTCTCTTTTCTGAACTGTCCCAAGCAAGTTTTCTATATCAAGTTTGTTGAATAATAGATAAGTATATAGTGTTTTTGTGAAGGGAAAAAACTTTAATAATAGCTGGTAATAGATGGTAAAATCCCTTTAATAATAAATATCTGAAAATTTTAGCTTCAAATGTGTTATGAAGCTGGCACATTTTTGATTAACTAACTCTTAGACAAAGTTTAACTAGTTATAAGAAAGCCATAATTTATAAGAAATATAAGACAGTGTTCAGTTAGTAAATGACAACTACATTCAATGCGATAGGACTACAAACACGGGTCGGCTTTCCATTTCTTTGGATAGTGGTTCTGTTGCCATTTTCCCTCTGAAATAGGTCGATTTGATAAGGCTGAAATGCAAAAGAAAGCTTGCTGAATTGAGCTGTTTTTACTTCGAAGAGATCGATTAATGTCTCGATGAATCAAAATTATATTGATTTTAAACTATAACATCAAAAACATTTAACTCTTGCCTTAAAAATTCTGCGTTCTTCCTCCGACGGAAATTTTCGAATTTTGCGTCGTAGGCCAGACGAGAAGTAATCATGGGGGGTATGCAATTTTTCTGACTGCGCTATTTCCAGGCCTCGCAAACGTCCCCGTCGTAGCTGCGTCTGCGATCGGAAACTCTCTATTAATAGCTTGCTGACCGCATTAGATCCTGAAAGACTTGAAAAAGGCAATGGTATTGAAGAAACCTTACGAGATAACAATGCAATGTATAACAAGTGGTGTAGGTCCTTATATAGCAACACTAAGCTTGAAAGGGCAAGGAAAAGGAGTGTCGGCGAATCGTCTGGCTTGGTTAGTGAAGGAAGATTGAAGAAACAAAGAAAAAGTGTTTCCAAAGAAGTATGCTTTTTGTGTGACGTATGCTTTAAGAGGAAAAGGAAGGTGCTCTTAGAAACATCCACGATAAAGTTAAATGAAAGATTAAACAAATGAGACATGTTCTCTGTTACTCCGAGTTTTGTGCTTGCGCACTCATCAGACAGACTATAATGAAGAATATTCCTGCTACCGCGGTATAAATATACAAAAGGTGTGATAAAGTTAGACAAAAGAAATTTTATTAGATACAGGTTAATTTGTTAGGTGGAGTTCTATTGTTCATGAGATAAAACTTGTTTTCGTGTCGGCATTTGGAGATTAATTCGGATCGTTTGTTTAGAAGAATTTTGTTATTTGCTTTGATGATGTATAGCTTTTCTGCTAAGCATAGGTCCCTTTAGAAGAGTAGAAGACTCACAACAAACTGGAAACGAAGCCAGTATGTATGAACTGCACATTGTTAGGTACGTTTAGCATTTCTTTTTGGAGTGGGATATGAAATGTAATTTAGATTTTTTTGGGGGTATCAACTGAATTTTTGAGATATAGGATGGGGTGCCAACTTTTGTTTGAAAATTATAGAAAGCTTGTTTTCAATTGGGTCTGCTATGACAATAGCCCGGATGGTTTTCTTCCCTTTCAGCATCTACTAGATACAGCAAATCCCTGCATATAATATGTATTCTATTTTTAAACCAAATAGCTTTTTTAATAGGGCTAGGCTGCTGTAGATGCACCTATGAGTGAAGAAAAGTAAAGCGCAAACATTGTCATAGTCTAGTTCGAAAGATTCTCCTTCCAGAAATATTCTACTAATGTTTAGAAGAAAAGGCGTTGAAATGGAACCCATAGCAAAGCATGCTTATTGTAATAAAACTGGGGTGTTATTTTTGTTGCATATAGTGCTATTTCAACAGGATTCTGGGTGAACAAAGAATACTCTCATCTTGGTGCTTGCCAAGATGGCATCATCATTGGGCTTCTGTCAATGTCGTTTTCAGAGTAAGAAATTTTCTTTGCTTTGGATTCTGAAAAAAAAAGATTATTCAGCGCCTGCTGGTGCCCATTCACAGCAAACTAGATGCTCTCCAGACGTAAAAGGACATTGAAAGTTCCATGCAAATCTTCAGAGAAAAATTTGCACATGTGGAAGAGAAAGTTGAAAGGGTTCATGGCTGCTTCCATGAAAGAACTGTGGAGCAATGGGGACTTGCTATTTTGACATACATTGGCCGCGGTCAAAGTCCATACCAGTTTTCGGCCGAAAACCACGAAAACGCTTCGTACTCAAAAAGAGGGCGAATATCGAAATAACGAGTATTGTGACTACGTCATACATAATGGGCGGGAAAAAGATTACTTCAACTGTTTGGCGGGAAAATCATACGAACCAAAATGGCGGAGGGTATAGGCCCCCCTTTATTTTCTACTCTTCACCGGGTTATCTCTTCATACTTCAAGAACATTGAGAAGGTTGGGCAATACTACAAAGGTTATGTAGACGGGGAAGATAACTATAAAAACTTTCTCGATGATTTCTCTGCTGTAAGTTCAAATTCATTTTGCGTGCGAACTTCAGTAGAGAGAAAAAACTATCACAGTGAGGATCAGCTCAATAATGCTTCGCAAAATAGTAAGAAAGAGCAAGGGGATGAAGATCAGAGAAATGCAGCAGCGGAGGGAATAGGGGGAAAAGCACCGCAGAGAAGGCTAAATCGTACAGAAGGTAAGTTTTCAGATTTCAAAGTTCAAATCAGTACCCCCACCATACGGTTAATTGAAGGAATACATGTATTTTTATAAGAAACTGTGAATATTAAGAAAATGTTGCCTCTCTGCACCCCCCCCCCATGTGGTTATGGCTGGTATCGGCCGAGAGGACTTCAATTAATGATTGACGAAAGATGACATGCACATTTATGAAATCACAAATCACTGCAATGCCTGGAAAATATATCTACCTTTTTTAAAAACCCTTGATGTTTGATTGAAGCTGAATAGGGAAGAAACCAGTTAATCGTATCCTGTCTTACATTTTAGGGGATCCAGTTTGGCAGAGCACGCGTGGACACAATCCGATAGAATTCTTTGGCAGTCCATTTAAAGTAGAATCTAATGTGCAGCTCGAATGTACTTACGGACAGAACAGACATGACAAAAACAAAGAAGATTCGCCAGAGGTTATTCTTTATTTTCAATTTGTATCATTGCCTCTTTTTTGTAACGACAGCGGTATTTTGACGCTTGTGCACAAAATATGCTTGGCAATCCAGAATTTTTTAATACCATCCATACAAATTAAATTTTTTCAAATATCTTGGAGATAAGGATACAAGAATCTTTAGTGTAAAATATTATGGGGGTTTTTATTTGTGAAATTTCAGGAGAGCATCAATAATCATCCAAGTTGGAAAAAACGACGAATGAGGCTGCAAGATTCGCGAAAACTTGGATGTCCTGCAAAGATCTTTGTGCGATCTATAACAGTGTACCCAGATTATGACATATCTGATAAAGCCAAGACTGAAAGTCGCAGACATGTAAGAATACTTTAGATTTTTTAAATAATAATGTTAAAAGTAACAATGGAATATCGACAGTAGTTTTCGAAAGCACAACATAGCTCTTTTAAATTTTATTTGGAAAAGAATTACATACAGTAGATGCTGAAAATAATTACACAACCAAAAAAATGTCTATGACAGAAAGCATATGCCGGAAAATATATTAAATTGCTGCCAAGCAGTTGTTTTCACTCCCAATCAATTTTCAAGGCAATAGAGCAGCTGGATTTTCCTTACCTCGGTAAAAGGTAAAGGTTTCCTCTAACAAAAATGTTCTTTTCAGCCATAAAGCATATTTCCTCTTTCGTAGTTTGACAGATTTACAAAGAAGGAGTGGTTGCAGAAGTTGAAGGAAAATATCGGAAATCCTGATCTTAAAATTTTTAAACGATATTACCTGTGTGTTCCGGACCAATGCACCCATACATCGCACGCTGTTGGTGTTTTTGCCGGGCTGGGCCAACCAATTAACCAGAAGGTGAAAGAACAAATTCACAAACTGACAAATTCAGGTAGAAAATTTTGCTGTCAAAACAAAACTAAAAAATAAGATTTGAAACTTGAAGAAATCCAATTTTACTCTGATTTAAAAGAAAATAGACTATGAAATCAAAAACGAATATAAAAAAAAAGTTAGCCTGCATACAGTCTCTCTTTTGTGAATAATTAAAAGGAAGAGAAAATAGAAACTCCGTGAGAAACTCTCTGCGAAAATTATGAATTCAGGACCATCTACTCACAAAACACAAACTCTTCAATCAATCGTAATAAGTGATGTTGAACTACGCGACAAGTTTGCCTAACGTCAAGACAAAGAAAAAAAGGTTGAGAATATATACGCGGAGTAACAAATTCCTTAATGATGTTTGCCTTTATCTTCAATACAATGTTTTTCGTCATTTATTTGATACCTCCATGTGAGATCTAGTGTAGAGAATATATGGCAAAAGAATATACCTATTCTCTTATAGATGTATCCGATGTCCAGACAATGAGAGAGCTGCTGAAAGATTTTATCTTAAATGATATGTTTGCACACACCAGCAGAAAGCCAGATGTACTTAACACCGCATTCTTTCCAAGAGATAGGTGCATTGCAAACCACATGTATATAGCTGCCACGAAACAGAAACTTAGCTGTATGGACCAGGTAAAACGAAAGTTTTCCTTCCGAGCAAGTAAAATTTGTGATGGTGGAGAAGACAGGCTTCAAGAAGACTTGAACAGCCCCAATTGTGACAATTCAACGGAAATTAGCAAATTCAATCCGCACCAAATAAAATCCAGACAATTTGAACAAAAGCTACTCTACGTCCACCAAGAACCATGGCAGCAAGACCTGTTGAAAAACTACGGTAATAACATATGCTTGATGGATGCAACATACAAAACAACAAAATACGCGTTACCTTTCTTCTTTGTCATCGTAAATACAAATGCTGGGTACAAAGTTGCAGGTAAATTCAAATTCAAATTAACTAAATATAGGCTTGATTCCCAGCTCCGCAACACGCAGTTATAATTATGATCTTTTTCCCAAAGACCGGGATTTTGATGCCATGATGCCATTTGATGCCATTCCAAAAACATGCTCGTCGCATAGTGGGTATCAAGTACTTAAGTTTGTGCTCCCTTTTTGTTATTATGATACAGTAAAAACCCGAAAAATAGAAACGCATTTCTTAGAGACCTTGTGTTTTGCTAAAAGGTACCTCTATATAAGAAAATTATGTTAGAAAAATCTATTTCAAAAACCTTTTTTTGAAAAAAATAATTTTCATATTTCTGATTCTTTATAATAATTTAGATATCAAAATTTTGTTTCAGCGGAATTTATCACTCAAGAAGAAAATACAGAGTCGGTTGAAGAGGCATTGCTTGTTTTGAAGAATTGGAATCCAAGCTGGAAACCACAATTCTTCATGTGTGATTATTCCCAAATTGAAATAAACGCTATTGAGTCGGGTACGTAGATTTCTTTGATGATTTCAATGGCCTTCCTCGCGGGCCAAGGCAATGAGAGGTATTCTCATTTTTTTGTCCCGATACCTTTAAGCACCGGAAGTATCTCAACTTCATCTTCAATTGTAAAGGTTTTATAGTAAAAATATAGAACACAAAACAGTGACACCATTATCAGTATAAGTATAAAAGATATAAGTAGCATTGATACTATTTTTTACATTTACAGTATTCTCAGAATGCGGAACAAAAGTACTGATATGTGCTTTTCACAGAGAGCAAGCCTGGGAACGTTGGACGAAACGAAAGGAGTCAACACTAAGTCATAAAGAAAGGAAAGAGTTACTGGGATACCTACGACAGTAGCCAACGCCCCAGCAAATGATGAAGAAAACACTAATCCTTTTCAACTTGCTGTTGATAACCTTAAATCTTTCCATGTTTGGAATTCGAAACCTAACGTTCGAGATTTATTGAGCATTGTTTACCTCGAATAAAAAATGCTGAAACTGACTTTAACGGGAATAAGAACTTGCTGCGAACAGATATCGGAAATAAATTGTTCGAAGTCAAATCTTCAAATGATCAGAAGGTTTACTCCTGCGACTTGAAACTCCCTCGATGCGACTGTATGGATTGGCGCCGGAATAAGTTACCATGTAAGCACATGTTTTACGTCTTCAAATACGTTCCAGGTATTGATTGGGATACTTTGCCAGCTGCGTACTTACAACAAGACTTTCTGAAAGTTGATGATCGGCTTCTACATCGTGCATTGGCAGATTCTGCTTGTCTGGAGGATGCGACATTAGAAACTAAAATAAGGAAAAAAAACTTTGTAGAGAACGATACCGGGGTCGAAGTAAATATCGGGCACAATGTAGACAATGTAAATAAATACAAAGAGAGAGACTCCCTGGATGAATTTGAAAATTATGAATCATTTCAAATTTTGAAATCGCAATCGGCAAAAATCCTTCGTCGTAAATGTATTTCTTCTTTAGAAACATTAAAGAGCAAGATCTTCCAGTGTCATGAAAGAGTTACGCTGAAAAAAACGTTAGATACATTAAATGATATGGTGAAAAGAGTCGATCCGACTCTTCTTAAAGATCCGAGTCAAAGTATCCCATTGACCTCATGCAAGTCGCAGGCCCTTATCCAAAACAGGACAGGAACAAAGGACAAAATTCTACCATTGAAAAGAAACAACTCTCGCAAGCGCAAACAAGAACACTGGAGGTCTCGAGGTCGCTGTGGTCAAGCAGCTAGTGCATTTCGCGAGTCAAAAAAGTTCAAGCTGTCCAGTGAAGATAAAGAAAAAGACGTCGAAGTAAGCATCGTGACGGGAGATCTGGTCAAGTCAGAAAATGTAGCAAATTCAACGCCAGTACCCGAAGAATTTTATGAAAGTGCGCCTGCAAGCCGTCCTGGACAAAATGTTGCAAAGCCTACCTGCAGTGCAGACCGGTCAGCGATACCATTACTGGGAGGATCTATTGCAACAGGGAACAGAGTTGTCAAGCTCTCCAATACTTGCCCAGTTGATAATTGGCTTATGCTACTAGCAGTCGCAAATCTCGCACATTCAAACGCATATCGTGCAGCTTGGAGCATGGCATACAATGATGAAATAGCTAAAGTCTTTAGATTCGTGCCACTGTGCCAGTATCTTGAAGCTAAGTTGCACATTGCCAAAATGAATGGATTAGAACCAGTCAACAACACAATAAACATGTATGGTAATGAACAGGAGTTGTTTATTCGTTATCTCTCATTCGCCTTTGAGCATTCGATTAGATCCACTTGCTCTAGTCCAGCATGCCCCCAAGGTGTATTGAATAAAACATTCAAGCTTTTCCCTCGTTTGCCTGGATCAACGCAGTATTTAGCAGATGATGTTACATCTTTTGTCAATGAATGGCTTTTGAACGGTTCCTTGTCACGCTGTGGACGAAAAATGCAAGGAGAGTCATTTCCAATCGACCTCACATTTCCAAGTGAGCAGCTCAACACAGAAACCGGAAAAAAGTAGGTTTTCAAAAATTGATCAAACTAATTAAGGATTAAAGAGACGATCAAAATGATACCTAGGGGATGAAAATAACAAGTTGTCTTTGACTTTTCTTCTATATTTGTATCTAGCTAAGCTTGTAGAAGCGTACTTCTAGT